GTCTGAAAGGAAGTAACGCTAGAGTAGACTCGCGAAAAGTGTATAAGACACTTTTAAGATCAACTAAATAGCTAAGCCCAAGGGAAGTCGTTCGGGGAGGCCCTCCCTAATTCCACAAGGGTGAGAAGAAACACACACGATAACGAAACGTTGAATCATGTAGAACTCGTAGGGTAAATGCAAAGCAAATTAGGAAGAATATGCAGTAAGCTAAGCGAAGAGGTAAGCAAGAGACATGTTAGACTATGACTACCAAAAAAAACTAAACGTGTTAGTACAGTAATAACGACTACAACTAAAAACAATAACAACATCTACAATCAAAAATTAATTCAAATAAAATAAACTACAAAAAACATGCAAAATAGACAAGTATTTTAACTACGGGGTCTTCTTTATCTTCTCCACCGGCGATCTGAAACAGATAGGGTGGCAACAGATTAATAATGAGAAACAAATGTTAATTATGTTATGTATTCTCACCTTAATTAATTACAATGTGCCAAAGTCAACAAGTGCAAACAGTAATGCAAATCCAGGAAGAATGATGCCACTGCAGACAATTTGGGATGCAAATCAACTTCAAGGTGCTCTCTCGATCATTCGTCGAAGATTAATTGGATAATGTTGCAAAATGAAGATGTTAACGGCAGGCCAATGTCCATAGTCCAAGAAAAATGACACCACAGGGTACAATAAAAATTAACTTCATGCTTATAAGATAATCTGTAAAAACGGATAAAAAATGAATTAACGAAGTGTAGTAAGTAAATAACACGAAATAAAAGTTGTAAATCAACAATTCTAATTCTAAAGTGATACTGTATTAGGCCATACGTACATATATACCTCAATAAGGTACGAAAGGCTTTCACAGAAGACAACTACTGCAAATCCAAGTGCAGGAAAAACTATACCATCAACACCATCCACTTGAAGATATCGTAATATCTAAACAAACTTCAGTACGCTTTCGTGTATTGCTCACTCTGTATAAGAGAATAAAAAAAAACCAATTAGCTGTGTAATTAATAATAAGACACACAGAATTAAAACGTAACTAAAACCAAAACAAAGTAAATGTCATGTAAAAATGCAAAACTAGAAATATTTTAAAATCAGTAAATAAACTAAAACGGCAACAAATATAAATGATGGGGTAATATTGAGAATATTTCACTTTTATTTTATTAGTATTACTGTACCTTGACTCATACTGTTGGAAATTAGAAGGGCTTCACTTCAGGTACTAGGGTGACTCAAAACTAGTTAGTTTTATTAAACTTGAGATCAAAGTATTTAAGCACCGATGGGCAATATTTATATTGTTACTTACGCAGTAATTCCTAACTAAATTAACAAATTGTAGCACATTATTACTTCATTAAATTAATGAAAACACCTGTCCAGTTTTGAGGTTATATTCATTTTTTAATATTTCCATAGACAACAGGATGTAGCATAGGCTATAGAGGCAAGTAAATTCATTCAGCCACAGTATAATGAAGAAATTAACCTTTCCACCAAACCCAGAAGAATTGATAGTATATATCCAAAAGTACAACAGATTGTGAAAAAACTGGAGATAAATTAATTATCTATTGCAAATATGTTTATATCAACTTGCACTATAATAAACTAAAATTGATTTTTTAAACTTGTAAAATTGGAATCATTTTTGTTTACTGGATTTGAACTTTGTCGGATTATTTTCAACGTTTAAAAAATTTCAAATTCAATTTTGCTAATACTGTATAATTAGTCGGTTTGGCAAAATTGAATTTGAAACGTTTTAAACTTGGAAATATTTAAAAATGCCATCGATCTAGATTTCCATTACATGTTTATTGAAAACGCTTAAATAGGCGTAATAAATTAAATGATACGAATATAAATTATTCCTAACACGTGGAAACAATTAAAAAATAAACAGTATAATTCACAAAACAGAAATTTTAGAAGTTTGGATTTATCTAAAAAATACATCATCTCAAGCAGATTTTGATATGATTCTTTTTGCCTTTTTACTGTGAAATTCATTTGATTATGAATACAGAAAGTGGTATAATAAGTTTTAATCGCATTAAATAATAATTAGATTTATTTACTGTTCAGCAAAATATTGTTTAATTCACACGACAGTTATTCCATTTATTTAAAATTTGTTTTCTTTAATGTGGGCTGTTCTACCCACTATACTTTTATAACAACTATAAACGTCTAATTACAGGCAAATAGCTTCATTTGAATATAATTATCAGAAATGCGCTCTTCTACAGTTCTTCAGGTAAGAGAAAAATCTGTTGGTCGTAATTGTGCATTATGAAAACCTTTGTTTTATATACTTTTTACTTTTTACTATATATCACGTTAATGAACAGTTATCTTCTTAATTTTATGAAACCTAAATAACGAAAAGTAAAGTATATAGGCAGAAATATAAATATTTTTTTATCAGCATTAATTCAGGAAAAAACAACAGTAGGCTGTTTGAAATGCAATGGTTTAAAGTAGGTTGTAAACATTCGTAATTACAAAAAGAATATTACATTATTATACGTTAATTTCATATTTAAAACGTAGATGTGCTAGTATGTAAGAACTCTTGCAAAAAATTTAAGAGAAAATTTACTACAAAAATAACATGCGAAAGAAAGAACTTACATTGAGAACAAGTAGGAAACAATAAGAAAGATGAAAAATTATTAATAGTGACACTAATTTGGCAGTTCTCATAAGAAATCATTTAAATTTGAACAGAAGATTACCTTTACCTATCTGTTTAGGAGATAATGAATTACAACATACTTGTTATAAATAATGGGGTAATTTTCAGAACATTTCTTTCTTATTTTCTTGGTATTACAGTACCTTGACTAATACTGTTGGAAATTGAAACAAACGGCTTCACTTCAGGTACTAGGGTGACTCTGAAACTAGGTAGTTTTATCAAACTTGAGGTGAAAGTACTTAAATACCGTTTCACAACATTCATGTTGTAATTTTCACAGTAGTTCTCAATTAAATTAATAAATTGTAACAGTATTACTTCAGTAAATTCATGAAAACACTTGTCAAACTTTAAGGTTAAAAAGTTAAATTTACTAAAAACTTTTTGTTCTTCTTCTAACAGCGGCTATAGAGGCAACTCGATTAATTCAGCCACATTAAAATTAAGAACTGCACCTTTCCACCAAACTCAAAAGAAGAATTGATGGTATATTTTCAGAGACNTATCATGGTTTGGATACGTGGTGTACCATACAGAACAATGAGATCTTATTATGGGAACCCTTATTACAATCAGGTACAAGTTCCAGGAAGGTATGTCCTGAAGCCAAACTATTATTACCCGCGATCGTTGGAACAACCAATTTTAAATACAGGTTTGTTTGTGAATTAATAACAAATAAAGCGGTTATCAATAAATATCGTACATTCCAAAGGTTGCTTCAGGCAAAATAGTATTTTGCCTAAACGTTGGACAATATGGCCCAACCGCTGGAATAAATATTATTAATGCGTGCAATGGAATCTGCTTGCGGAAATTAATACATTATTTGTTGCATTACTTTTATCACTTGTGTGAGATTAATTCTATAAAAATTAAATAACAGTATGTTCTACATCAATTGTTAATTTTTTAACGTAAATGTAATGTTTTTGGGAGAATAGAATAAATAATAATGATAATAATATTTATTTTATTTCGCGATTGAACCAGTGTGGGAAGTGAAAGGGATATTGGTAAAGGTAAAGGGTAAAGGAGGGACTATAGATGAATAATTAAAATAAAATAATAATTGCACAAACCAGATATCATCTGAGGGTTAGTAAACACCATCTTCTAATTAATAATTTCTAGAACGCCTTTTTATATTTAAATTATTTAATATATTTTAGCAAAAATAATTTCGAAAGGTACCTATTCGACACCGCACTCGAAAAAAGTTTTCACCGTGAGATTGTACCTACTTTTTCACATAATTATCATTTCTTAAAGCTTAATAAATACTTTCAATTTCCCATTAAAATTACCAGCGCTTTTTTGTTTCAACTATGTTATAGATTTAAACATAAATAGGTAAATGACTTATTTGTCAACACACTTGGAAAACGTTAGCACCATTAGATTCTACGTACTTTTTCACATATATCTCATTTCTAAAAACTTAATTAATACCTTCCATCACATTGTAAAATTACGAGCGCCTTTTTATGTATCAACCATTTTACAGATTTTAACATAAATAATGTCGTAAGCTAACTATTTGAAGACGCACTCAAAAACTGTTAGTACCATTCGATTCTACGTACATTTTTACATATATCTCATTTCTAAAAGATTAATTAGTACCTTACACCCCCCTGTAAAATTACGAGCGCTTTTTTATGTATCAACTATTTTATAGATTTAAACATAAATAATACCTATTTGACAACGCACTAGAAAACCGTTAGCACCATTAGATTCTACGTACTTTTTTACATGTATCACATTATTAAAAGCTTAATTAATATCTTCCATCTACCAGCAAAATTACGAGCGCCTTTTTATGTATTAATAATTTTATATAGACTTTATCATAAATACGTAATGCCCTAAACTACCTCTTTGACAACGCACTAGAAAACCGTTAGCACCATTAGATTCTACGTACTTTTTTACATGTATCACATTATTAAAAGCTTAATTAATACCTTCCATCATCCTGTAAAATTACGAGCGCCTTTTTATGTATCAATAATTTTATATAGACTTTATCATAAATAATGCTCTAAACTACCTATTTAAAAACGCACTAGAAAACCGTTAACACCATTAGATTTTACGTACTTTTTTATATGTATCACGTTTCTAAAAGCCTAATTAATACCTTCCATCACCCAGTAAAATTACGAGGGCGTTGTTATGTTTAAATCATTGTCTATGCTTTAGCAAATATGACTAGAAATTGTAAGTAATTTATTATAGGGTAAGCATGAGATAATATTTTCGATGTTTCCAAGGTGATTATAATTTTGAATTGCAAATATATTAGTGTTACTATCACAATTATGATGAAAACAGAGATTGAAAGTATGTTGACATATAAGATAATCAAATTTTCCATGACTTAGAAGGGAATGTTTATAATGTAATTTATAAGCCCATTTTTTTCGTGTGAAAAAATAATCGTTCCGTGTGATGTATCACAATCAAATTTCTTGTTAGTAAATCATTCGAAATTATTGACCAAGACAAATCCAAAATCAGTCCGGTAAGACTGAATTTCTTATCGAATCAAATTAAACGCCAAATTACCATGATTAGAATTAAGAGTGAATTTGTTGATTGAAAACGAAATTAAATTCGTACTAATGCTACCCACTTGTATTTTAAATGCGTTTAAATAGTTTTCATATTTTTTTTTTTACTCATTTGATACATATTAGGTCAATTGAACAGTTAAAAATTCGCTTAATCATGCACTTTATCGTAAGTTTAAAGGTAAGAATTTAATTTCTTTTTATGTAAAAAAGCCTCCAAACAAATTAGTCTATTTATTCCATATTTATAAATTTAGATTATTAATGTTGTAATTCTTTCTGAACGTGTTTGAGAAGTTGTTTCTTAAAAATTACATTAGAAACACGTATATTTCTTATATGTCTACTAATATTATTCGTTTTACCCATTGCTTAGAGAATACAGTTCCTTTAATTAGAAAAATATGTGTGCCAATTATGAACACGATTGCTGGCTTTTCTTCAGCTGTAATTTTAAAGAAAAAACTGTAGTTTTATTTCGTATTTGTTAATTAATCTTTGCTTTCTATTGTAGCGTGTAGGAAATCTCTAGAAAAGCTTTTCAACCAATTTGTATATATTTGTCGATAAGTATTATACAAAAAAGTTGTTTTATACATATTTATGCAATACAATAAAATTTAAAAAAATCATGCTAGTATGTTGTAATATGTACATATGTACATTTGTACATACATAAGTATTAGCGAAAGTTAATTGCATGTGGTGATGGAGTACGTTGAAGGAATGGCGTCAAGTTTTGATCCGGTCGCAGGCTCACAATAAATCAGAACGGAAACAATAAAGTTACATACTTGGAATTATTTCATAGTTAAGAAAAAAATAGTTTCCTTCCACTATTAAAGATTGTGTTAATTTCAAGTTTCAGATTTTTAATTAGTTCTGAAAATGCTACCTGTTGTAAAAAAAAAAGTATTTACAAATATGGTAGGCCTATAAGAGTGAGAAATTTATTTTTTTTTCACAAAAGTACACTATATAGTTTGAAAATAGTATATCAATAATCAAATAATAAGCTTCTCTAAACGTTTGCTAGAATCACTAATAAAAATCACATAACATATATAGGGGTGTTTTTAGTGTTCTCTACCTTCCTGCTTCAACTTTAATACATCGTGTATTATACATATTATTATATATCTATTTTTTCACTTGGACCAAAAACTATTACGTAAAAAAATTGTTTCCAGCTTTTGATGTTTAGTATTTGTTGCCTCAGTCAAAATATCGTGTCGTCTCAATCTGAAGGAGATCCAGAATTTGGAGAATGGGACCATGATCGATTAAAAAATGCTGAGATTGAATCTAATGTACAGGATTCTCCTCCGGTGTACGACTCTAATTCTCTTCATATGTACGATTCTGATTCGCGTTCAAATAATGAAGACGATTACTTTAAATCATCAAAAAATGATTACGACTATGATATGCCCGCCGATGAAAGTACTAAATTAGAAGGCGATTATTGAAATCATTTTTTTATCCATTAGATTATTAAATTACTAACTACAATGATTTTTTATCAATAAATAAATAAAAATATGAAGTTTTTCAATTTTGAGCAGTATCTATTATTTCTATANCGAGCGCCTTTTTATGTATCAATAATTTTATATAGACTTTATCATAAATAATGCTCTAAACTATCTATTTGACAACGCACTAGAAAATCGTTAGCACCGTTAGATTCTACGTACTTTTTTACATGTATCACATTATTAAAAGCTTAATTAATACCTTCCATCATCCTGTAAAATTACGAGCGCCTTTTTATGTATCAATAATTTTATATAGACTTTATCATAAATAATGCTCTAAACTATCTATTTGACAACGCACTAGAAAATCGTTAGCACCGTTAGATTCTACGTACTTTTTTACATGTATCACATTATTAAAAGCTTAATTAATACCTTCCATCATCCTGTAAAATTACGAGCGCCTTTTTATGTATCAATAATTTTATATAGACTTTATCATAAATAATGCTCTAAACTATCTATTTGACAACGCACTAGAAAATCGTTAGCACCGTTAGATTCTACGTACTTTTTTACATGTATCACATTATTAAAAGCTTAATTAATACCTTCCATCATCCTGTAAAATTACGAGCGCCTTTTTATGTATCAATAATTTTATATAGACTTTATCATAAATAATGCTCTAAACTATCTATTTGACAACGCACTAGAAAATCGTTAGCACCGTTAGATTCTACGTACTTTTTTACATGTATCACATTATTAAAAGCTTAATTAATACCTTCCATCATCCTGTAAAATTACGAGCGCCTTTTTATGTATCAATAATTTTATATAGACTTTATCATAAATAATGCTCTAAACTATCTATTTGACAACGCACTAGAAAATCGTTAGCACCGTTAGATTCTACGTACTTTTTTACATGTATCACATTATTAAAAGCTTAATTAATACCTTCCATCATCCTGTAAAATTACGAGCGCCTTTTTATGTATCAATAATTTTATATAGACTTTATCATAAATAATGCTCTAAACTATCTATTTGACAACGCACTAGAAAATCGTTAGCACCGTTAGATTCTACGTACTTTTTTACATGTATCACATTATTAAAAGCTTAATTAATACCTTCCATCATCCTGTAAAATTACGAGCGCCTTTTTATGTATCAATAATTTTATATAGACTTTATCATAAATAATGCTCTAAACTATCTATTTGACAACGCACTAGAAAATCGTTAGCACCGTTAGATTCTACGTACTTTTTTACATGTATCACATTATTAAAAGCTTAATTAATACCTTCCATCATCCTGTAAAATTACGAGCGCCTTTTTATGTATCAATAATTTTATATAGACTTTATCATAAATAATGCTCTAAACTATCTATTTGACAACGCACTAGAAAATCGTTAGCACCGTTAGATTCTACGTACTTTTTTACATGTATCACATTATTAAAAGCTTAATTAATACCTTCCATCATCCTGTAAAATTACGAGCGCCTTTTTATGTATCAATAATTTTATATAGACTTTATCATAAATAATGCTCTAAACTATCTATTTGACAACGCACTAGAAAATCGTTAGCACCGTTAGATTCTACGTACTTTTTTACATGTATCACATTATTAAAAGCTTAATTAATACCTTCCATCATCCTGTAAAATTACGAGCGCCTTTTTATGTATCAATAATTTTATATAGACTTTATCATAAATAATGCTCTAAACTATCTATTTGACAACGCACTAGAAAATCGTTAGCACCGTTAGATTCTACGTACTTTTTTACATGTATCACATTATTAAAAGCTTAATTAATACCTTCCATCATCCTGTAAAATTACGAGCGCCTTTTTATGTATCAATAATTTTATATAGACTTTATCATAAATAATGCTCTAAACTATCTATTTGACAACGCACTAGAAAATCGTTAGCACCGTTAGATTCTACGTACTTTTTTACATGTATCACATTATTAAAAGCTTAATTAATACCTTCCATCATCCTGTAAAATTACGAGCGCCTTTTTATGTATCAATAATTTTATATAGACTTTATCATAAATAATGCTCTAAACTATCTATTTGACAACGCACTAGAAAATCGTTAGCACCGTTAGATTCTACGTACTTTTTTACATGTATCACATTATTAAAAGCTTAATTAATACCTTCCATCATCCTGTAAAATTACGAGCGCCTTTTTATGTATCAATAATTTTATATAGACTTTATCATAAATAATGCTCTAAACTATCTATTTGACAACGCACTAGAAAATCGTTAGCACCGTTAGATTCTACGTACTTTTTTACATGTATCACATTATTAAAAGCTTAATTAATACCTTCCATCATCCTGTAAAATTACGAGCGCCTTTTTATGTATCAATAATTTTATATAGACTTTATCATAAATAATGCTCTAAACTATCTATTTGACAACGCACTAGAAAATCGTTAGCACCGTTAGATTCTACGTACTTTTTTACATGTATCACATTATTAAAAGCTTAATTAATACCTTCCATCATCCTGTAAAATTACGAGCGCCTTTTTATGTATCAATAATTTTATATAGACTTTATCATAAATAATGCTCTAAACTATCTATTTGACAACGCACTAGAAAATCGTTAGCACCGTTAGATTCTACGTACTTTTTTACATGTATCACATTATTAAAAGCTTAATTAATACCTTCCATCATCCTGTAAAATTACGAGCGCCTTTTTATGTATCAATAATTTTATATAGACTTTATCATAAATAATGCTCTAAACTATCTATTTGACAACGCACTAGAAAATCGTTAGCACCGTTAGATTCTACGTACTTTTTTACATGTATCACATTATTAAAAGCTTAATTAATACCTTCCATCATCCTGTAAAATTACGAGCGCCTTTTTATGTATCAATAATTTTATATAGACTTTATCATAAATAATGCTCTAAACTATCTATTTGACAACGCACTAGAAAATCGTTAGCACCGTTAGATTCTACGTACTTTTTTACATGTATCACATTATTAAAAGCTTAATTAATACCTTCCATCATCCTGTAAAATTACGAGCGCCTTTTTATGTATCAATAATTTTATATAGACTTTATCATAAATAATGCTCTAAACTATCTATTTGACAACGCACTAGAAAACCGTTAGCACCATTAGATTCTACGTACTTTTTTACATGTATCACATTATTAAAAGCTTAATTAATATCTTCCATCTACCAGCAAAATTACGAGCGCCTTTTTATGTATCTATAATTTTATATAGATTTTAACATAAATAATGCTTTAAACTATTTATTTGACAACGCACTAGAAAATCGTTAGCACCATTAGATTCTACGTACTTTTTTACATGTATCACATTATTAAAAGCTTAATTAATATCTTCCATTTACCAGCAAAATTACGAGCGCCTTTTTATGTATCAATAATTTTATATAGACTTTATCATAAATAATGCTCTAAACTATCTATTTGACAACGCACTAGAAAACCGTTAGCACCATTAGATTCTACGTACTTTTTTACATGTATCACATTATTAAAAGCTTAATTAATATCTTCCATCTACCAGCAAAATTACGAGCGCCTTTTTATGTATTAATAATTTTATATAGACTTTATCATAAATACGTAATGCCCTAAACTACCTCTTTGACAACGCACTAGAAAACCGTTAGCACCATTAGATTCTACGTACTTTTTTACATGTATCACATTATTAAAAGCTTAATTAATACCTTCCATCATCCTGTAAAATTACGAGCGCCTTTTTATGTATCAATAATTTTATATAGACTTTATCATAAATAATGCTCTAAACTACCTATTTAAAAACGCACTAGAAAACCGTTAACACCATTAGATTTTACGTACTTTTTTATATGTATCACGTTTCTAAAAGCCTAATTAATACCTTCCATCACCCAGTAAAATTACGAGGGCGTTGTTATGTTTAAATCATTGTCTATGCTTTAGCAAATATGACTAGAAATTGTAAGTAATTTATTATAGGGTAAGCATGAGATAATATTTTCGATGTTTCCAAGGTGATTATAATTTTGAATTGCAAATATATTAGTGTTACTATCACAATTATGATGAAAACAGAGATTGAAAGTATGTTGACATATAAGATAATCAAATTTTCCATGACTTAGAAGGGAATGTTTATAATGTAATTTATAAGCCCATTTTTTTCGTGTGAAAAAATAATCGTTCCGTGTGATGTATCACAATCAAATTTCTTGTTAGTAAATCATTCGAAATTATTGACCAAGACAAATCCAAAATCAGTCCGGTAAGACTGAATTTCTTATCGAATCAAATTAAACGCCAAATTACCATGATTAGAATTAAGAGTGAATTTGTTGATTGAAAACGAAATTAAATTCGTACTAATGCTACCCACTTGTATTTTAAATGCGTTTAAATAGTTTTCATATTTTTTTTTTTACTCATTTGATACATATTAGGTCAATTGAACAGTTAAAAATTCGCTTAATCATGCACTTTATCGTAAGTTTAAAGGTAAGAATTTAATTTCTTTTTATGTAAAAAAGCCTCCAAACAAATTAGTCTATTTATTCCATATTTATAAATTTAGATTATTAATGTTGTAATTCTTTCTGAACGTGTTTGAGAAGTTGTTTCTTAAAAATTACATTAGAAACACGTATATTTCTTATATGTCTACTAATATTATTCGTTTTACCCATTGCTTAGAGAATACAGTTCCTTTAATTAGAAAAATATGTGTGCCAATTATGAACACGATTGCTGGCTTTTCTTCAGCTGTAATTTTAAAGAAAAAACTGTAGTTTTATTTCGTATTTGTTAATTAATCTTTGCTTTCTATTGTAGCGTGTAGGAAATCTCTAGAAAAGCTTTTCAACCAATTTGTATATATTTGTCGATAAGTATTATACAAAAAAGTTGTTTTATACATATTTATGCAATACAATAAAATTTAAAAAAATCATGCTAGTATGTTGTAATATGTACATATGTACAT